TCATTCCTCGAGATAGCTAAGTGAATATTTAATTTGAATAGATAGATAGATAGATAGATAGATAGATAGATAGATAGATAGATAGATAGATGGCTGAACAGGCTGAGATAGATAGATAGATAGATAGATAGATAGATAGATAGATAGATAGATATAAACAGTCTGAGACAGACAGATATTAACAGACTGTGATAGATAGATAGATAGATAGATAGATAGATAGATAGATATAAACAGGCTGAGACAGACAGATATTAGCAGACTTAGATAGATAGATAGATAGATAGATAGATAGATAGATAGATAGATAGATAGATAGATAGATGTGAAAAGCCAATGATAGATAGCTTATGTAATTATAGTTTGTTTGCCTCTGGCGTTTTTATTCCCTAAAAAGCCCACAATGCTTGCAAATTCCTCGGTAATACTTAACATATAAATAACGTCGAAATTGAATATTTCCTTTCTGTCTTTTGTCTACTCGCTTCTTCACTCTACCCTGTCATGCTGTTTCGACGCCCCCATTTCTGTCAGAGGTCTTAAATCGCTGTTTGGTTCTTATATTGGATCCACCAACAAAAGTGAATGTCGGTGGCGATGTCAGCAGATAAAAAAAAAGACGAATGGATTTAGACAACCTGTCATTATTTTTCTTTTCAAATTTTTTAAAAGCCCGATTCAAAGAAGTTGCAACAATGTTACGGGCATCTTTTTAGATGACAGTATTAATCTTCTGTCGACCTATATGTTGAGCAGAGCTATATACAAACATTACGTGAGTTTTGATCGCTTTTTAATCTCTGCATTCAAAGCTTCTTCATCTACCAATTTTCATCTTCGTCTCTCTCTCTCTCTCCCTCCCTCCCTTCCTCCACACACACACACACACGCAGATAGATAGATAGATAGATAGATAGATAGATAGATAGATAGATAGATAGATAGTGAGTAATGTCAGTAATGCCCGTGCAGATTTTAAGGTTGGATGCAGTTTGCACAGCACTGCATTGACCCTCACCACAAAACCACATTGTCCAGAGACAAGCAGTTGCAAGATATCTAGCGTGGCCATGAGGCAGGTTTTCTATCAGAGTTTCCTTCTCCTAGGTGACTGCTAAAAGGTTTGGGAGGTCCCACTCCTAGTGGACTAACTGCGCGTCTGGATACCAGCCAAAATATTTCTATGGTCTCGCGCAGAGATAGCTAGAGGTTCATCCGCCCTTTGACAGGTCTTCTTGTTGTCCTACAGTGTTTCTAGCCACCCTCCTAAATAATAACATAGTCAAGCTGTTGACGTTCCACACTATTTCAAACAAAATGTTAGGAAGGAAGCTCCTATCAGTACTGGAAAGAACGATAACAGCTACTGGATTTGAGAAACGTATTTTTCTGAACAATTCTTTTAAGTGAAAGATTTTATAAATTTCAACTGACAGTATAACTGGCTGTTCGCTCAACGAATGTCGAATGTTTTAATATATGGAAACAGTTAATATTACCATTACATTTTACTTATTATAAAATTGTGTGTGTGTGTGTGTGTCTGTACGTTTATATATTAGATCGGATTTCCTACATTTTTCAACCGATTTCAACAAAACTTCACAGGACTACGTAAAATTACCTTGCGGTGGTTCTGACAGCGCCAAAAATTGGAAAAAAAAACAATTGTTTTTGCACGAAATCAATTTGAAAACACGATTAAGAGGCATCACGAGAATGAAAGGGGGACAACTCATATCGAGTTATACTTATTATAAAACCCAGGTTGTGTGTGTGTGTGTGTGTGTGTGTGTGTGTGTGTGTGTGTGTGTGTGTGTTCGTTTATATATGGGATCGGATTTCCTACATTTTTCAACCGATTTCAACAAAACTTCACTTCTTTTTTTGGCAGCTAGTGTTTCTTATTGTCTTGCACACTTTTCTTCTTTATTTTTACATTCAGAATGCTTTAAAAATTCCATTTACAAGACAATTGTTTATAATAAAATTCTATTCAATCAGTAGACTCCTAACGATTGAAAACAATGTTTTTGTTTGAGTTTGGGTTTGACCAATTCGTAAAAAAAAAAAAAAACTAATTAAAACATGCGTGTCCGTCAACCTTAAACAATAATCTTTGTCAATTTTATTTTTCAGTCTTTATGGTGGTCGATACTTGATCTATCTCTTACTGTTACATTCTCGGGCAACGCCGGGCTCTACTGCTAGTGTACAATAAAAATCCTACTCAGCATCAAAAACCAAAAGAAACTATGTGACTCTGTTACAGGCTATGGTGCAGTGGAAATTATAAACGGCTTTAGAATGTCTTGGGGACACAAAAATCAAGTAAGTGTGGAAATTTAAATATATGGGAAGTGTTCTGATAGACGAAGGTAAGTGCGACGCTGAGATCTGAAAACGTATTGGGATGGCCAAAGATACATTCCAAAAGATAAGTATAGTATTAAGTAGGATTTCGTTGGTAACAAAGAAAAGACTACTAGACTGCTATGTGATAACTGTCCTTTACGTCAGCGAATGTTGGACGGTCTCCTCAAAGATGAATAAGAGACTCAAGACAACGGAGGTATGATTCTACTGCAGCATGCTAAGGATGCCATGGACCGAACGTGAGCAACGATGAGGTTTTGGAGAGGATGCAAACAAAGAGGAAGCTTATACTTAACATCAGGAAGAGGCAGCTGAAATTTCTAGGACACGTAATGAGAAAGGAAGACTTGGAGAATCTGATACTCACAGGGCGGATAGAAGAAAAGAGAGACAAGGGGAAGTAACGTGTGACATACCTAGCGGGCTTAAGCAAGTGGATAACAGAACAGAATCTAGAAGTAGCGAAGGGCAAAACATATTTTGATCAACAAGGCTCTCCCTTGAAGTGAAGAGCCATGATCGCCTACGTCCTGAAGGGACACGACACATAAAAGTAGAAGAAGAAAACTTCTTGCATAAAGACAGCAGACATAAACCGACTACATCTTAACAAATAAAAAAAAATCTTTCAATGTCGTCAGAGGTCATTAAAAGCCCAGCAAATAATTTCCATCTAAATTAAGCTATTTCTAACAAAATACAGGGAAATGTTCTGATTACTAGAAAGTACAATTTTTCTTTTTCTTTTTTTTTAATTTAACAATGATGATCTGTAGTGTAATCAAGCATGGAGGAAAACTTGCACATGATGGTAACTTAGGTAGAAAAAGATGACTAACCGGGGATCGATAAATGCACAGGTCGGGGGTCAGAAGGGATCATAATCAACACATCGGAAATATTTTCAAAATTACTCTTATACTTTAATTATGGCACCAATAATCTAGTATCATCAAATATAAATAAATAGTCAATAAATCAAAGGGATCAATAAATGTCTGGAGGTTCAAAGAGAGGTCGATAAATAAATTGTGGTCACTTGATACTAAAACTCACCAATTTCCAATTGAAGATAAATGTTATTCTTACTGCTAATCAAACGCAATTTTTTCATTAATGATTTCGACCATTTCAATAAAAAGGCATATTAATTTATTTATAATTTGTTTATTAGTGCCTGAATTATAACTGTGCATGTCCCTCCCTTCGTTAGTTCGCGCGACCGTTACGCCCTGCCAATACATCATAAATAATGGACTATTCCGTTTTGATCGAGAGGAAAAAGGAGAAAAGCCACTGCTTGATTTCAGCGAGAAAATTAATGAAAGAAAGAATGGAAGACAGAAGTGTTTAATGGCTGCTTCTATGAAATGAAAAAAGTTGTCAATTTGAAATCTTTTCATTTGTACCCACTTCTTAAAATAACGGCCAGCATTCATATTTATGATTGTTATTGCAATATTTTGTTAAAGTTGCTAAGCTCAAATATTTAACGTTGCGATAGGTTAATTTCTCCAGATATTTTATTGTCCTAGAAATCGCCATGAGCTTATTCAATCATTAACTTCTGAATTAAAATTCGTCAGAATATTAAAATAGGAAAACCGTGAAATTTTCGCGGGTTATTATTATTATTATTATTATTATTATTATTCAAACAAATAAGTCTAGTATTGGAAGAGAAATAAAAATTAAAAAACAAATAACAAAACGTAAATCTGAAATTATTCTTATGGAGAAACAATAATGAAGAAAACAGGCGAAGGAATTTCTCCTCTTAAATAAAATATAACTATTATTAATATTTTTGTACAGGCCTGGGGCCTATGAAGAATCAAGGGTACCATGAAAGGGTTAATAGTGTCAAAATTTTTAGACTACTGTTCTAAAGGAGTTGAATGCTTAAGCGCAAATTATAAACCACACTTTTGCGATTCACACAGTAAATTAACTTGAACTGCTTTAAAAAAAGAATCTAATCTCCACATTGAAATGAACTTGATACACGGCTCTTTTAAGAATAAAAAAATGGCTCTCTGCTGCTTAGTATTTACTACAAATATAAGGAAATACAATGATGCTCTTGAAACATCGTATTTATGAACAATACTTCACTTACTTAGGTATTCGACAACAAATTAATCCACAGGGGTGATTCCAGCCTCTGACATATGTCGACATTGGAGGACAGTCATCATACACGATGCTCACGGCTGTAAAACAAAAATGAAATAAATAAATAAATAATAATAATAATAATAATAATAAATTGACATTCTTATTGACATGGCAGTCCCTGTAGATTGTAATGTATCTTTGAAAATCTTCAAAATCTATCAAAATAGAAGGATCTTGAAATGGAAATCTAAAAAATGTACACGAGGACATCAATAATTCCAGTTGTAGCTGGAGCACTCGGATTGACTGGAAAAGGGTCCGATAAACTCATTGAAGGTATTTCTGGTAGCCTATGCCTAAAAAAAAAACATGTACTCACAAGTACACCTCACACATTACGAAGGGCTTCACCTATCTAAAATGTGTGTGATCTTGGGTTTTCATCTTTTTTTTCTTTTCTTTTTTTTAAAATGATTAGTGGAAAATGTCATGAAGCCATTTATTTTTAACTTTAAATCTCTGGTTGGAACACGGAAGGAAATATGTATACAACAGAAATCAGAGATAACCCAGACGCGGTCACAAAGATAGACCTGTAACAATTTAACGATACAAATAGACGGACCAATCAAAGCTAATCGCCCAGACATCATGATTAGAGACCGCAAAGACAAAATGTGCCTTCTTATTGACATGGCAGTCCTCACAGACTGCAATGTATCTTTGAAGATCTTCAAAACCTATTAAAATACAAGGAATTTGAAATCGAAATCTCAACAATGTGGTACATGAGAATATCAACAATTCCAGTTGTAGTTGGAGCCCTCGGATTGATTGGAAAAGATTACAATAGACTGTTTGAAGGGATTCCTGGTAGCCCATGTCTTAAAGAAATACAAAAATTCTTCTCAGATTGAACAGAAAATACGCATCATAAAGATTACCCGCCTTTATAGAACCAGTTCCTGGAAATTTGGGATGTCATTATTGTATAAACCTAATATGTAGATTATGTGGACAACATGTTGAGACTTATGGCCACATAGTATTTGGCTATCCAATCTTGACACCGAAGGACAGCAAAGATTGGAATGATAAGATTGGGTAATATATTCATTGAAAGATAACGTCAGTATTACAGTAGGCCACATGCCGAAAATGGCAAGAGCATCTCTCTGAACCAGTCGTAGAAAGCCATGTTGTTTGGGATTTTATTATTCATACTGACAGACGTATAAAAGGTAACAGATCGGATTTTCTCAATAAAGACTAAAAACAAAAAATGCCTTTATAGATATCGCAGCGCCATCAGATAAAAATACATCTGTTATACGACAAGATAATTAAATATAAGAATCTTGGAATATGAAAAAAAAATCTTTAAACTACTGTTATGCCTACAATAAATGAAAGCCTGGTTACGAACAAAAAAAAAAGGTAGAGAGAATTACATTAAAATCCATGGAACCCACGTTTTAAAAGTGATTCAAAGGTTGCTCTATGTGTGACGGATCATCTAACTCGGGAGAATATTATCAATATAAAGAAAATATAAACACTGTACATGTTTAGTGTCACTTAATATCAGAATTTGCGCTAAGAAGAAGAAGAGGGGGGAAAGAAGAATAAGAAGAGAAGGAGGAGTAAGAAGAGGAGAAGAAAGAAGAGGGGGAGAAGAAGGAGGATTAGAAGAAGAAGAAAAAGAAGGAGAACAACAACAACAACAATAAGCCGCCGCCAAATCCTCACTTTCCGGCATTGATTCAAAATCGTTTACGCCGTCTTGATAACTTATTTTCCACTCTACAGCCTCTTTCTCCAGAGACGCAACGTTGCAACCCTATTGCTATTTCCATGGCAAATGTCCAAGTGAGCTCCAATATTTAGTTCCACCAGTTCAAACATTTAGAGCTAGGATTCGTCATGTTACGTCCACGGCGTCGAATCATCCATATTTCCTCCGTATTCCATTTGTAAAGAGGGAGTTCCACTTACATAGCTTTTTTTATCGATAACTGCAACTTTGTGGAAGAAAATCCAATATAGATGCTTTCTTGAACAGGAAAAACTTAACCTCTTCAAGGCAAGAGTCAGTCACTATTTATCGTCTTTATTTTCATAATCTTCTTTCTACCTCTTCTCACATTTATATACCATACCTCCTTCAGTAAGCCTCTACCACGAGTGGCTCTTGTGCCTTGTATTAGGTGATTTTTTTAATAAAAAGAAAGCTTAATAAAAGGAATTCTTGGGCATCTCTCCGAGTTTATATTGCTTACAGCCACATCACATTGAAAACAGGTCCCCCTACGATAAGTGAAGTTAAGCAAAGTCGAGCGTAGTCAGTACGTATATGGGGGAACCACTTGGGAATAAAAGGTGCTGTAAGTTTGGATGTGTGGGTAATGGATAATGGCTCGGAATTGTTAATCGGAGAGCCGTGTTCGAATTCCCGTTGGGTTCATTATATTCACTTACGCGCAAATAACCTTGGAAAAGGTATGAATCCACCTCTTCTCTCCCCAGCTATGTGTTAATTAGTAAAACTTGTATTACTAAACCATTATCATCTCCAAAAAATTATTACAATCTAGAAATATTTTCTGGCTTTAACTAACGTGCAAAGGGTTGATAAGTCGTAAAAACGAATCAATCAATAAGTTTTATATTATAAATTTTCATAGAAAATTAAAAATAAAACTGATTGCAGATTCAAGCTTCTAGAATTTAATGTCACAGTGGTGCACTAAAGGTTGCAATCTGCAGTGTGATTTTTTTCTTTTATAGTTTGTCCCTGTGCGTTGCATTGTACATTTTAAACTAATGACTAACACTAATCTTAACTCAGTATTCTCACTGATTTTGATCGCATTGTGCTCATCATTTTCTCAGCTCTTTCTAGAACTTCAACATTTTCCAGATTTTTCATTATTTTTGAGACAGTAATTATTACCATTGCCCACACTTTTACATCACACCATTTTTTAACCTCTCGAGCAAGGTCCTGTATTTTATCAAGCATTTCTCTTTTTGAAACAATTTCTCGTCTATCGGCCGGTTCACACTCTTCCCCGGCATTTAAAACAGAAGTTTATCGCTTTCTTCCTGCTTAGGATTGGGTTCCTGTTTACTTCTAAAGTATTTTCGTTCTCTTTCTCTCTTTCAGTATCCCCTTGCATCTTAGTGCGATTATCGCCTTACTTCGGGTGAACTGATTAAAAAAATTAAATCTTGTCGATTCACCTGCATAAGGTGATCTCTATCGGTATTTATGGGGGAATATGATATATGAACTTTATATATCCGATGAATGATGACTAAATGAATGACGAAAAAAATTCTATGTAACGCGTTTCGTCCTTCAAAATGACTTCATCAAACTAAAATAATATTCTTAGTAATGGAATCATATATATGTAGCGGAGGGAGCGGAAACATAAACTAAAATGTCGGGTATAGCTATACATCAAGAGGAATGGGACGCCAAACTTTAAATTGTAATTTACTGGTATCCGATGAGTTCAAACATAAAGCCTGACTTCATTTTTTAAAAACAAAAGCGTTAGGAATTTATGCATGTATAATTATAACCAAGGTTTTTGTCAATATTTCCTCTCTCTCTCTCTCTCTCTCTCTCCCCCATATATATATATATATATATATATATATATATATATATATATATATATATATCTGTGTGTGTGTGTGTAAAAATTTCAGATAGAGTATATCTGTAAAAGAACAATGTGAATAAAGACAAAAGTAAAACTTTGTTTTAGCTGAAGACAAAATTCCAAAACATCACTTACTCACTTTCGTCTATTATTGAATTGCGTCACACCGCGTCCTCCATAGCTTGCCCGACTTTTCAGCTAACCTGATGAATTTTTCTGAGCGTTCCTAAACTTAAAAATTTTGTAAAATCAATAACATTCTCGCTCTTGTATATAAATACTCTTAGCGTTTAGCATGAAACGGACTGTTGCCTCTGGGTTTGACTTACACCTACATACACACACATGCATATATATATGTGTGTGTGTGTGTGTGAGTGAGTGAGTGGATGTGTGTCTGTGTATGATTCCATCAATATGAACATTATTTTAGTCTGATGAAGTCCTTTGGAAGGACGAAATAGTTTACATAGATTTTTCATTTTGTCATTCAGTTACCCACCACTTTGTCATTCAATTACCCACCAATATCCCCGCCTCTCCCATATTTTACTGTACCCGTTGCCAACGAAATCTTCGGATTTGTGTATTTATCTTTTTTATATATATCTATTTGGATAAAAGTTCCCATTTCCCTGTCCATACTTATTCCTGTGTAGTTGTATTTGTTTTTAAGATATGAGGACCAATTTCCTGCATTTAGATATAGTGTGGTTTACTGTCTCTTCTCATTCTCCCTATAGTATTAGTGTTGATAGGATTACTATTAATTAAAACAGATCTATTTTCAAAGGCGGTAGTCATTCCCCTTGATTCTGTGTACTCAATATAAATATGACCCTTACCACAAGTTGCCATAAATTTATCGTTGTCCACCGAATATATGACGTCCACAAAATCCCTTGGAGATATGAGACCTATGCATGCACTGCTGGTGAACGTCCGCATGATTCGAAGATCCTGCAAGAAATTGAGAGAAAGATTTTTAAAAAATATTACAATAAATAAGGCAAAACCAAAGAACTGTTGAAACAGAAAATAAGCGGCTTCAAAAATTCATTTTATTTTAAATGAAAATCAAAGACACAATTAGGCGTGCACATAGATCATGTCGGGATTTGTGGGTAGTATAAAGAATATCAGAGATATGTAAAATGTAATCGGAGAGCCGTTCAAATATAGGCCGATAACTTTCGAGCAAATGCCGTTTCGTAAAAGCACGAATCCCTCCCTTTTCCCTCCCTAAGCAGCTTAAACTGGTCTCTCTAAATCTTTGGCGTCAACCGCGAAGAACTTGAAGAGAAAATCGCTCCGCTGTCCTTCCCAAAAATACATGGCAATTCACGGGTAATACAGATAAATAATCTATGGAGAGCCATTGCCTCATACGGTATTTACCATAGCCTCCCCACAAGGCAGTTTGTGGCACAAGGCCGATTTTTATGTAAGGCGATTCCGAGCCCGTAGCCTCGAGCAAAAATTTCCCATTGACCCCGCAGTCGGGTTTGTCTATTTCCCCAGACGAGACTTTGCCCGTAAGCATAGCCTCGTCAGGTTTTCCCTCTGCTCGAAGGCAAAGTGTTCGACAAGTGAGCCGCGACTCAAGAGCCATGACCTCCTACGTCCTGAAAGAACGTGGCATTTTAAAAAAGCACATAAATTAGCTCCATCTTTACTAATGTGTATTTATTTGTGCGTATCCGTCTTGATGGAGTTCAAGAGCGTCTACGCGACCTTGTGGGTGATGAATTATTTTACATCCTACAACTCCTTTCCCACGGACGAAACATTACGAGCCTGTCACTGTTCTATCGCTACTTCCGTGTTCTGACGTGCTATATTCCTTAGTCCCACCACCCCTGATCTTTACAACTGGGACCCAACGTGCCACGTACACAAGCGTGAATCATCCCCATTCCTTTCGTATTCCTATGGTAAGAAGTAAGTTCCATTCGAACAGCTACTTCCCAAAAATTGCTGCTTTGTGCAACGACTACCAGCAAAATGCTTTGCCAGTCACTACAATCTTGACCTCTTCAAATTTAAGGTTAACTGTTATATTTCCTCCATAGTTCAAGAAACTTCACTTTTTGGCCTTTCTTACACAGATACAACAGCACTACCTTGAGTAGCTCTTGGGCCTTGTATTGGGAAAAATTAGTATAAAGAATATGTCCGTACAAGGTTACGCCCCAACGATAAGGCTCATTGACCTAATTATTGGCATGAAAACTCATAAGATATCCAGTTATATATATATATATATATATATATATATATATATATATATATATATATACAACTGGATATCTTATGAGTTATATATATGAGTTATATTATATATATGAGTTATGTTATATATATATATATATATATATATATATATATATATATATATATATATATATGTATATATGATAAAATATAAATTTAAGGTATGCTATATGTATGGGTTAAAATGTTCAATATCAGGGGTAGAACGTATGCAAATATAAAAGTGTACATTAAAGTCAACATCCAGAGGCGACAGCCTGTTTCATGTTAAATGCCTGACGATTGCGTTTAGCATGAAACGGAGTGTTGCCTCTGGGTGTTAACTTCAATGTAGATTTTATATATATATATATATATATATATATATATATATATATATATATATTACTTTGGAGGTAATTTCTTATCCTCAGAGGTCATTAAAAAGGAGAGAAAATGATTTCCATCAAAATGGAACAATTTTAACTATAAAGGAAAATATCAGAAATCTTCGGCTTGCTAGAAAATACATTCTTACATTATTGCCGGAAGATGGTAACTTAGGTATAAAAAGATGATAGAATATGCAATGCTGACAAGCAAAGTCATTTTAAATTACCACAGAGCAATTTAGGAATAACTGCTTTCTATTAATAATCTGAGAGACTTTCTGCCTTCCAGTAGCAATGGGTGATGCTAACCTCCAGGAGAGTGTCTTGTTGCTCTCGGGTTGACATTCTCGGCTGACATTCTCAGTAGTGGAAAGTCTATACTGAATTCATTGCTAGGTCAGATGCTAAGAAAGTTGGTTCTTTGTGTTGTGCTAGACAATTTTTCTATGCGGAATCTGTCTTAAATATTTATAAGTCTACCATTCGTCCATGGTTAGAATATTGCTGCCATTTATGGTACGGTGCTCCTGCTATATTCTTTGAGATCCATCATAAAATTAAAGGAAGAATCAGCAATATTAGTGGTCCTGACAAGGCGTCTTGGCTTCAGTCATTTTCCCATCGCCGTAATGTAGCTTTCCTATGTTTTTTCTATAAATATTTATATATATACATATAAAGTGAAACATCGGTTCATGAATTTAATTCGTTCTTGAAGGCCGTTTGTAACCCGAAATGTTCGTAAACCGAAACTACTTTTCCAATAGGAACCAATATAGAGAAGAAAAATGTCACAGTATAATAAAATTGGAAAATTAAAGCACGACACAACACACGAATGTATACAACATGGTGGTTAACTCAGAAATTATTCCGTTCGGGTTGACTCGGTTCGGCTCATTTCGGCTCATTTCGGCCATATTGTTCGAGAACCGAAATTTTGTTCGATAACCGAGACATTTTCATCTCGAATTTTCTCTCCGAAAATTGATTTGTTCGACATGTGAGACGTCCGAGAACCGAGGTTGCACTGCATATATATATATATATATATATATATATATATATATATATATATATATATATATATATATATATAAAGAAAGAAACAGTAAGATATATAATCCTGTGTTCTTATAGATATTTTTATTTTTACAAAATAGTGCTCAATGTAAATTTACAGAGCATTAATATTAGAAATTAATTGATTTAAAATATTTTTTTCGCTGTGTAGCGAAAAAAAACATATTTTAAATCAATTAATTTATAATATATATATGGAATATTAGTGTTTAAGCCTTTTTATTATATATATATATATATATATATATATATATATATATATATACGCGTTCGTGTACGTATATCATATAGATACTGCAGCCCACGCACAACATGCATGAAAACACGTGTCTGAAAGCACCCCCGTTTTGTATAAGTTACTGTAATGTTGAATACTGTGTGTTCTTTCCCCGCGACAAAGAGCTGCTCACCTTAAACACACACACGCACACATCCACGCACACATACACCCCCCCACACACACACACTACTGCCACATATACTGATGTGTGGGCGGTGTAAGAGTTATCAAAAGTGAGTCGGTAGATAATCGCAGTCTAGACGTCTTGTATCGCTATCGCAGTTATGCCCTTGTGAAAGCCATCAATCTAATTCTCCCTTCTCTCACAATCAATAAGGATCTTTACAATTGCTTTCTTTCTCCAAGATATGTATTATCAATATATATTTTACAATGATGTTAAACATGTATATCCCAGGAGCCACTCGATGGAGAAGAGGCACAGCTTATGTGGATATGTAGGGAAGTGGGCGGTTAGCCTAAGACTTGAACAGGTTAAGATTGTTTTGATCGGGAAGTATCCTTTTGGAAGTCGGTTCCAAAAAGCAGCGGTTCACGGGAAGGAAGCTGCTCGAGTGGAACTTACATCTCACCGAAGGGAATACGAAAGGAATGAGGGCGGTTCGCTACAATGTGTGCGGAATAGCGAGTTTTAACCATGAAGTTTAGAACTGGTGGAACTAAAGAATGTAGTTCATTTGAACACTTTATATGGAAATAGCGATAAAGCAGCAAGTGGTTTACGACATTTCTTCTATAAGAAAACGTGGAACATAACATATCACCAACAAGGATGTTTTTAGATTCTACCACGGCTAGAAAGTGAAAACTGGGTAGCTCCTGTCTATATATGGCAGCAGTACTCCATTTTCGGCTTGGTTTGTCTCTTGCAAATGTAGAGGATAGCAAGATGAGTGAGTTACTTACTTTTCAGCATCTTTAGAGATGGATCGTACGTAAGAGTTTCACTTGAGGTCTGGGCTGACCTTAAGTCCTAGTGGGCACTCAAGGCACGGGGCCTCCATCAGAGAACATCCTTTCATTGCGATAGGCGAAAATTCAGTGTCCGCTCGGTTGTAACAGGGGAAAAAAGTAATTTCCATAATACCCGTAATTCCAGCAGACTTGCACTTTGAAAACAAGGGACGTTAATCCCCAGTGAGACCCGCTTTGCCAAAAACATCGAACAAGGAACACAAACAATCTCTCAATGTTTTTGAGGTCAGTCTTGTTTTTCTTAATCATTTCGCCCCAAGCAAAGCGATAATGACACAAAGACGCAAGGAGTGAAACACAATGAGAAGACTTTAGAAGGAACTGGAAACCCAATCCTGAACAGAAAACAAGAGACAAACCTCTACTCCTGCATAACAGATAGGAATGAGTGTGAACCAGGCGATAGGCAAATCTATCTACTCCTATTAATCTCCTATGGCTAGTTCCATATTGGTTGTTTCGGGCTTGGGTCCTTAAGCGGCCTTTTCATGAGTCAACACTATCTCCGCCTGCGTCAGAATGCGCAACTCACACGACTGAAGAATTTCAGCCAGTGTACATTTTCTCTCTGCTGGGAGATGGGTGATTTTATCGAGTTACCATCTCTAGAGTGATTGCCACGCAAGACTATAGAACCCAGTCTTTCCTATTATTTACCCATAGCTGGTTGTGAAAAGTTTGCTTCGTACCTTTCCCAAGCAATGCATGTAAATGAATGTAATGTACTCGGATAGAATTACGAACTCGGCTCTCCGATTCCTCACTCCGAGCCGCAATCCATTATCTACCAAGCAAACTGTCTTCATAATGACATTCAAATGTAACAAACCTGAAACATTTTTTTTTAGTTCTGGACATCGGAATGTTTTTTGTCACGTACTTTTTTCACAAGTAAATATTTTGTTCCATGTTGTGATATATACGAAGAAATGTCTGGTATCCCGATTATTTTCTTCTGAAATTTAATGTCTACTCGTATATTGCTACACAAGAACCGAGTAACAATGAGAAAACCAAAATAGTCTTCCCATGATCATAGTTAAACCTTCGCGCTGTATATTTACTAAACCTTTTTTCTTTCTAGTTTAAGCGATAATGAAGTACCAATAAAGTATGCATTTACCTATAATGACTTGCAGTTAGTCAGTTATGTGCTATGCGTGATATACGATAAGGCGATCATGTATCTTTCGATTACGAGGCAGATTTTTCCCGAAGTAGGTTATCATTTCTGCGGTAGACCAGTTGCCATTCAAGGCCATAGAACTCAGTACGTAAGTGAATGTAATTCATACCTTTCCCAAGGGTATTAGCACGTAAGTGAATGCAATGGATTCGACTGGAATTCGAACTCCGCTCTCCAATTTCTCAATCCGAGTCGCTATCCATTACTCCATCGTGCCTCCTAATGACTTGCAGTACTAACTCAATCTATAGTAAATGTCTTTTCTATTTTTTACATAAAAGAATTTCATTCTTGGCTTATTTGGTTTGGTTTCTTTTGCATATCAACCCAATGGGTCATTCAATGCTGAAATTTAATTTTCTTGTGAGCATTAATAATTCCTTTTACAAAAATTTATTGCTGGTAATTGTTTATCATGAAAATGTATTACTGGCATTTTTACTATAAAAATGTATTTTTTATACTTTCATAGTGTTTTGACCCCAGTTTTGGGGGTTTACTATTTGCCCATAGCTGGGACCCTAACAGGTACTACCACCCCGGGTCAGGGTGGACCTGAGAACAACAGTAATTAAGAGGTGGTTCTACGCTCTTCAAAACATCTGATCAGAGGCCTTGCTGCCGGATGTACTTTATTGTCATAACCAGAATGATTCTGGTTGGTTTCCTTACATGAACTTCCATCTGAAAATAAACACAACGATTTCATATATGCCTAAAACGTAGATTACATAGTACGTATACTTCCAACTGCACCAATGGACGATCTTAAGTCAAGTCAAGTTTTTGTATCATGAATTTCCAGGACAAGCAAACATTTGGATTAGATAGTTTTGAATTCTTCCATGGGCGCCAATATTCGATTATCAAAATCCGCTGAAAGCCAGGCTTTCGCATGTTGAATTTTCAAGGCAAGCAAACTTTTTCAACTTTAAATGTTGGCTCATTGTAATCTTCCTACTTGGACTTGTTCCACTCTTGCCTAAGCTTAATAATTATCAATTTAAGAACTGTTACACTAAATGACTATTGCTTAAAATCTTTACATTAAAATCGTCGCAGCTGAAGAGTAAGAAGAAGAAAAAGAAAAAGAAGAAGAAGAAAGAGGAGGAGGAGTAGAAGAAGAAAGGGAGAAGAAGAAGAAGGAGGAGGAGAAGAAGAGGAGGAGGAGAAGACGAAGAAGGGGAAGAGGAGGAGGAGGAGAAGAAGAAGAAAGGGAGGAGGAGGAGAAGAAGAAGAAGAGGAAGGGCATTTACGCTTAAATGAATATAACGAACCAAACGATAATTGGAACTCTGCTCTCATTATTCATTACACAACCCACACATCTAAGCTTACAGTTCCTGTTATTCCTAAGTGGTCACCCATCTAGGTAGTGACTAGGCTCGACGTTGCTTAACTTCGCTGATGTTACGAGACCCGGCATTTCAATGGGATGTGGCCGCAAGCAAAAAGGAGGAGGAGGAAAATAAGAAGGAGCGGAAGAAGAATTCTTTAGCATTGTCTTCCATTATTATTTAGTTGCGCATTTCTTTCATTTTTATATGCTTTTGACATCTGCCCTGTTAATCATGTCTCCATAAATATTTGTATCCACATGATCTTCTTTTTTCTGTATTTTTTTCTTTTTGTTGTTGTTGTTGTTGGGTAAATCTTTTCTGATCTCCAACCGAACGAGAACATTTCCTCAATTTGTATGCCCTAGTTTAAGCCACGTTTAGATTTTTTCGCATTCCGCCCCAACCCAGTTTAACTGTCAATTCACTTATTACAAACCCATTGGCTTCTCTATCAAACCCTTTTTACCCTCCAATAGTTCTCAATCTTTTCACTCTCTTTCTCCAATTTAATGATTCTTCTTTCGGGCTTTCGCGATCCTCACTGTCTATTCATTAACCACCTTTTCTCTATGTTTCACTATAGAGTGAATATATATATATATATATATATATATATATATATATATATATATGAAATGGACAAAGTCCGACAATTATTTTAAGACATTTTTATGTTTATACATTCCTTTTATAGATACAAATATTTAAGTAAATGCTCTGTTTATAATAAACAGTATTAAACAACATTTACCGGCCTGAATGTCACAGAAAATATTCGTCCTCCGATAGGATTCGAACCTGTATCCTATACGGAACCGTCATTTAGCTTGATACGCCATGAGCAGATATGAATGTACGTGATGAGAGATTCATAGAAGATTGAATTTCAAATACAGTAAATTCGACCTTGCTAACCAAACTCTCCTCTGTGCCCAAATCGGTTAAAGGCACGTCAAGCTATATATATATATATATATATATATATATATATATATATATATATATATATATATATATATATATATATATATATATATCAACATGCTGAATTTAGCATCAATCATCTAAGTGAAAAAATTTACATTTATATATATATATGTGTGTGTGTGTATTTTCTGTTTATACGTTATTTTTATAGATACAAATATTTAAGTAAATACTCTGTTTATAATAACAAGTATTAACAAAATTTACCGGCCTGAATGTCCGAGAAATTCCAAAGAAATTATTTATCCTACACGGTTCGATTCCTGTCGGACGACACATATTTTCTATGGAATTTTTCGAACATTCAGTCCGGTAAAAATTGTCGGACTTAATATTCATAATTTCATTATATATAATTATATATATATATATATATATATATGGGGCTCGGTAAAAATGGCAGCGGAAAAAATGGCAGGGTAAAAATGGCAACGGTTAAAATGGCAAAAGCGGATAAATAGGAAAAAATGGCAAAAGTGGATAAATAGGAAAATATGGCAATTCGAGAACAGAAAATTATGACCGTTCGAGAAGGATGGGTCTAAGCTCCCATCCTTCTAGTTTAAAATAGGGTTAAATCCCCCCCCCACCAACTCAATATTTTAAAATAAATATTTTTAAATAGATATTTACTCTAGTGGTGGGGAGCTAGGTTCCTTCTCCTCTTGTTTTAAATAGGGGCTAAGTTCCCGCTTTTAGTATTAAAAATATTTTTTTTTAATTTTCGATGTCGATTTTTAGAAGTTTTATGGGGGGGGGCTATGTTTCTACTCCTAATTGCAATAAAAGCACAAATCGTCGCGTGTTTAAGTGAATTTGATGACTATAATTAATTTTATAATTGATAGCTGACACTAGGATTAGATGTGTATATATATATATATATATATATATATATATATATATATATATATATATATATTAGTGTTGGGACGATTAATCGGAATCGGGGAATCGGAAAAATCACGAAGTGGAAGGTTAGGAATCCCATTCAAATAAAACTTTTTTTTTTTTTACTGGAATGTTTTTCTTACAAATAATCAAATAAAACTTTTAATTGTTTTTTTCCAAAGTTTTTCAGTGTGTTCAGACGTAATCGCCTAAAAAGTAAAATCTCATGGGAGAGGAGAGCTTTAGCTGAACATTCTTTTTAATTTGACAAACTTCTCATGTTTTTCCATTATGTATTGTATTCAAGATTTTAATAAATTCATTGTGAGATATTCATCTATATTTTTTTCCTTTTGCCATTTTTTACCTATTTATCCACTTTTGCACTTTTTACCGTTGCCATTTTACATAAATTCATATATATATATATATATATATATATATATATATATATATATATATATATATATATATATATATAAGCAGTGTGGACACAGAGATCAACACTGGGTAGCGATATTCTGTTTCATGCTTGAACGCAGTCTTCAGGCCATGTGGGTTTGATAGCAGCTTGACTCTTCATATATGATGTTAGTCATTGGGTCATGATGGGTAGCAAGGTCAGTTATATCCGGCTTATTGTGTTATTCTAAAGTAGGGAAGAGACGGTTTTTTCAAATTTATTCTAACAGCTACTGAATAAACATATTTATGGGCCGTAAAATGATTATTTTATAGCTAGGGTTGTTTGTTAACTTTTGAACACCTTATTTCAACTTTTCTTAACTTTATAACCAATTTTATTCATTAAATTATTAATAAAATTACTTTTATTTTTCGTTGTTGCTTTTAATCATGTAAGGTATAATGCCACTAAGAATCAAGAGAGAATGGGGAGACTAATGTTGAGAAAGGACAATAAAAGAAAAAGTTTCAGGCAGACAGAAGATGTATTAATAATGTTGTATTTAAATCTTTGAAGATCGGAGGTGGCAAAGACGGTGGGAAGAGACTTCCACTTGCCGTTACATCCAGCTAATTCAACAGTGAATCGATTAGACAAAAACCCATCTTTGAATTTTCTCGAGAATCCTTATTTGGATTTTAAAGCACTTTCCCAAGAACAAATTCCACCTTCCGCAGCGATCTCATTTACCGATTATTGATTTATTTGTTATAATACAATGCTTATATATATATATATATATCATGTTTAGAACTGTGTAGCGAAAAAAACATATTTTAAATCAATTAATTTAATATATATATATATATATATATATATATATATATATATATATATATATATATTATATGCATTCACTTACGTGCTAATACCCTTGGGAATAATATATATATATATATATATATATATATATATATATATATATATTATAAATTAATTGAATTAAAATCTGTTTTTTTTTTCGCTACACAGTTCTAACCATGATTCAAAAATGGAAGCTAAAAGCTTCGAATTTAATTTTGTAATTAAATTAAAGACATTAGTTCCATTTCATCCTCAAGCGAATTTTGGAGTAACTTATTTATTATTGGGTTTTAAAGGCACAGCAAAAAATCATAATTCACGTTTCAAAGGATACAGAGAAATCCATTCATCCAGACAAGGGGTATTTGCGTGTTCATTATCGCTGTATTTAGATGTATCAGTTATTAGTTACGTTTTGGTAGGGGTAGGGATGTATTTTTCAATGAATTCTGACATCCGTTAAATCCATGTCGTCTGGATTTTTTAAAATTTTATTGTTAACAACAAAAATTCTTACGGCATTTTTTTCTATTTGTATATTTAAAGATTTTGGGGGGTGTTTAGGTTAGAATACGTTTTATTTAACTACGATTTTAAAAATATTTTCACATTTAATTTTGTATATACTATATTACTTTTTAAAACAAGTAAATGTATTAGAATCACTTACAGTATGTAAAATTATTTTCACATCAAGTACAATTATGTATATTACTAGGTCAAAATTTTTTTTTAAATTCATATTTAAATATTATTTAAGTAAAATTTATGACAATGACGGCAAAAATAGCCAATTAATTTCTCTGATTTAGTAAACTTTTATTTTTTATAAACCTAGTAATATATAGTTTCCCATGTAAGTACAAAGGATATGGGTCATCCAATGGCTTACATCTTCTAGCTTTTCATATTAATTTCATTTTACAAACGTCCCTGTTGAAAAAAACAATCGATACAATCCTTAACTCTGTATATAAAAATAATTCAATTCCACCTCCATCCACCAAACCTAAATAATATATATATGTGTGTGTGTGTGTGTGTGAGAGAGAGAGAAAGAGAGAGAGAGAGTTCGTGTAAGGCTTTTGGACTGCCCATCAGCCTTAACAGGACAGTGGTGATGTATCAACCTGCCCGAGGAATTCAGTATATAGAGCCATCAATTTATGTTGATGGTAGTCGACTAGGAGTAGTAGACATATTTGTCTACCATGGTAGCACCCTCAACCACCACTGCTCTCTTGACAATTAGATAGCGTTACGGATTAAGAAGGCCCCTGATGCATTTGCAGCACTCAAGGCCCGTGTCTGGAGTCAGAAGGGCACAGAAAAGCAGACGAAAATTAAAATATATAATTCCTGCGTTATGTCATCTTTGCTATATTCCTGTGAGACATGGGTAGTCTATCGCAAACATCTGAAAATACTGGAACGATTTCATCAACGATGCCTTCGGTCTGTGCTTGAAACCCACTGGATGTCTCACATCCCTGATGCTACAAAGGGCCAATTCACTCTCTGTGGAAGCACTTGTATGCAAGCACAGATTGCGATGGACGAGCCATGTTATCCGTATGGCGGATGAGAGAATTTCAAAACAATTAATGCATGGAGAATTGGAAATGGGGAAAAGACGGCAGCACAAGCCAAAATTTCGTTACAAAGATTGTCTTAAAGAGTCACTATACAAGTGAAATATTGGTCTGGGAGATTCTATCTGAAGACCGGGTTTCTTGGAGAGCTCGTATTGTCGATGGCGTCAAGATCTTCCTTGAGACATTACAAAAATATATGCAGAACTGAAGAGAGAGGTTCAGAAGAGATCTCTGAATTGCCATGAGGTGTCAACCTGGCCTTGTGCCCAATGCAATCGGATATGTCTGTCCAGGTTAGGTCTTCTCAGTCACCAGAAATCACACCGACACCAACAGTCTTTTGTATATGACGATTTCGTAATGAC